CACACATTCCCAAAAACTTTTCAAAGGCCCTTAATAAATCTATCAAACTGAAATCCTCTGTTTAAGATCCAGAGAATCGGGCCTGGAAGGTGGCGTGGTGGTTAAGGCGCTGGATTCCCACATGGCTGACTGAGTTTTGAGTCCCGGACCTAGCAGCTTTCTTTCTTACTTTCCTTCTCTCTCTCTCTGGTCAAATTGAAAATTAATAATAACAAATAAAATAAATAAATACCTTTTAAAGGAAAGACACAGGCAATTATCTTTTCCTGACTCTAAAATATATTACTACTTCTAGACTTTTGAGGTTATTCTTTCACTCTTTCTACCCGCTATGTTTGGAATCCTATTATTTTCTTCTCTTCTCTTACCTAAATCCCATTCATTCATCCACCTCTCTTCTAAAAGGGTCTGAGACTTCTCTGGGACACAATGCTTTTTATCTTTTCCCTTGCCTGCAAATTTGTTTTCAACATTATTTGGTTTGAAGCACCTCGGGGGAAAAGACCAAGTTTTCAAAACTGAAGAATTCTTTTAGTAGATGGTAATTCTTTATGTCTATGAAAGATTAAAAAGAAAAAACAAAAAACTTAAGCTTAAGACCAGGCCAGCTACAGTGGCACAGCAGTAAGAAACACAATCCTCCATGATGCTGAGGCCATATGGGAAGGGCCTAGATCCTGGCTGTTCCCCAGTCAGCAAAGTGGGTCATCGCACAAAAGGAAAGCTATGAATTCATAAATATTCAAAAGGAATTCTGGCATTGAATTTCATCCATTTATCTTTTCACCAAAACGTTAATAATATACAACCCAATTTTCTGAAATCATGCCTATCCTTGAGAAAGATGAAATATTGCCAGAATTTAAATATCACATAAATGGGGCTATTGTGAAATAACTGCATTGTTTGTTTCTTCAAGGTGGTAAAATATAGGTAATGGAATATGCCACCTTCCATTTTAAGTGTATAGTTCAATGGCATTATACATTCCCATAAATATTTTTATATTCCAAATCTGAAACTCTGTATCCATTAAACAATAATCTGCCACCCTCATCTTCCTCCTCCAGCCCCTGGGAACTACTATTGCACTTTCTGTCTCTGTGAATTTGATTACTCCAGGTACCTCGTGTAAGTGAAATCACATAGTATTTGTCTTTGTGACTGGCTTATTCCACATCTTGTTTTCAAGGCTTATCTATTTATATAGCGTATCAGAATTTCCTTCCCTTTTCAAGGTTGAATAATATTCCACGGTATGGATATAGCATAATCTGTTTATCCAGTAATCTGTCAAAAGATACTTGGGATGCTTCCACCTTTTTTTTTTTTTTCCCCACCACAGAGAAACAGAGAGAGAGGGAGAGGAGAAAGAACCTATTCCCACACCCCCTGCTGAAGGGGAATGGTTGCACTGCAATTCCTTCTCCATCTCTCTCTTCTTTTGATCTTTTAGGCATGCAAACAAACATACCTGGCATGTTTTTGAGGTCATCAGGTCTAGGAGTTGAAACCTATGGTCAGCCACACGGGATCTTGCTGTCTCATGCACCAGGCCACAGAGCTGGCCTGCTTCCACATTTTGGATATTGTTAATAATGTTACTATGAACACAGGCATACAAATTTCTTGAGACCTTGCTTTCAATTCTTTTGGCTATATTCTGAGAAATGGAATTGCTTGGCATATGATAACCCTTTTTTTAAATATTTTTTAGAATTATTTTTTATTTAACTTTATTTTTTCTTATTTTTAATTTTGACCAGAGTGTGTGGGGGTAGGGGAGAAGAGAAGAAAAGTGAGACAGCAAGTTGCCAGATCTGGGACTCGAACTGCAGTCGTCCACATGGGAGTCCAGTGCCCTTAACCACCATGCCACCTGCAGCCCCCTATTTTTAATTTTTGAGGAATTATCATACTATTTCCAGAGCAGCTGTACCATTTTGCAGTCTCACAGCCATGCACAAGGGTTCTAGTTTCTCCACATCATTGCTGTTGTTATTTTTTGTATATTTTAAGAATTTGTATTTACTTTTATTTATTATTATTATTATTATTATTATTATTATTATTATTATTATTATTATTTAATTTGACTAGAGAGCAAGAGAAAGTAAGAAAGCAAGTCACCAGATCCAGGACTCCAACCACAGTTGGCCATGTGGGAGTCTAGTGCCTTAACCACCATGCCACCTGCAGGTCCCTCATTTTCTTGTATTTTTGATAGTGATCATCCTGATGGGGATGAGGTGGGACCTCACTGTAGTTTTGATTTGCATTTTCCTAATGATTAGTGATGTTCAGCATCTTTTTGTGTGTTTATTCCCCATCTGTATGTCTTTTTTAAAAAAATATTTATTTAATTTTGTTTATTAATTCATTTATTTTAATTTGCCCGGGGGGTGGGGGGAGTGAGAGCAAGATGCCAGGTCTGGGACTCAAACCATGGTCAGCCATGTGGGAGTGTCTAGCACCTTAACCACCACGCCACCTGCTGGTCCCCCCATCTGTATGTCTTTTAAAAAGAAATGTCAACTCAATATTTTGCCTTTTTGGGAGGGTTAGCTGTGTGTGTGTGTGTGTGTGTGTGATGGTCTCACCATGTCATAATCTCCTATCTCAGCCTCCCAACTAGGACTAGATATATACCTCCATACCTAGCCCTTTTTAAAATGGAGTCTCACTATGTGGCTTGGGCCAGCCTGGAGCTTCTTATCCTCCTGACAGAGTCTACCTAAGTTGCTGGGGAATACAGGAGCACACTGACATGCTCACTTTTTTTTTTCTTTTAATTTTTTGCCATATGGCACTCCCCTGGAAGGAAAGAGAAAGAAAGAGAAAATGAAACATCACTCCCCAGGGTAGATGGCCGTGTCACAAACCCTTCTCCTCCAGTCTCTTTCTCAGGATTTTGGGCATGGAAACATGCATGCCATGCATGATTTTCAAGCCACTGGTCCGGGACTTGAACCACAGTCAGCCATATGGGATCTAGTGCCTTAACCTCCATGCCACTTCCTGGCCCTCTGCTGGTTACTCTTTTTTTTTTTTTGAGAGAGAGTTTGTCTGTTTGTTTGCTATAGAGCGCACACACTTGCTGGAGAGACAGAGAGACAGCAAGCGAGAAATCACTCCCCCAGAGGGTATGGCCACACTGCAATCCCTTCTCCTCCATTTTCCTCTTGAGATTTTGAGCATTCACACACAAGCATCCAGGGTGTTTAAAGCCACTAGATCTGAGACTTGAACCACAGTCATCCAGTGCCTTAACCACTATGCCACCTGCTGGTCCCTCTGCTGGTTATTTTAATGTGTTGTAACAACAACTTTAAAAACAGAGATCTTCATGTTTCTTAATGGCTTGAAAATTAAGTGCTGTGAATAGGAAAATAAGACTTTCATTGCCTCATTATTATGTAATTTTCTGGAAAATATCTACTCGATATGTAAAACTAGAAATTAATTCAGAGATCTTTAAGTTTGGTCTACTAGAAAAATATAAGAATCCTTGTGAATCCTTTTTTACTCTAATAGAAATAAGGTTATGATGCTTCTGATACACATTCAGCTGAAATTTCTTTTGAGTTTCTTTTAGCCTTGTGCAAAAGAGGGACATTTCACTGTCAGATCTTTCCTTTCTAAAAAGGAATTTTAATTTTATTTGTTATTATTAGTTTGCTTTAATTTGACCAGAGAGAAACAGAGAGAGAGAGAGAAATAAAAAAGAGAGAGGGTTCCATTCCCTAGGTCTAGGACTAGAACTGTGGTCAGCCATGTGGGAGTCCAGTGTCTTAACCACCATGCCACCTGCCGGCCCCAACTATCAGGGGTGAAATATTAAACTTTTAGCCAAAATTTATGTGATTAATCAGATGGGAAAAATATTGTCAAACAATCTCAGTTACTGATAAAAATTAATTATTTTTATATTAAGTTGTAGTTTACAAGAGTTAATGAACACCTCACAATGAATCACTAAGGAGATATTCTCATTGGCCAGCTTCCTCACAGTGAGTATTCTTACAGTACCCTTTCTCTGTACCACCCAGAATGGCTCTTAAGATTAAGTTCAGAGGATACAAGTTTGGTAACACTTAAATAACCATCTAGAACTTACCAGGCCTGTTTCTTATGGAAGGGAGTTCTTTTTAAAAACATTTGAAGGAAATGACAGAAATGTTACCTTTTTACTTCCAAGATTTCTCTTCATAATTCTTTTCTTTTAAAAGCAGTGAGCACTGGTATTCTTATAACAACATGACCACTATTCTGTGTGTTAAGGGGTGGGGTGAGGGGTTTTCATTTATTTTAAAGAACTGAATAGGTTACTCAATATATCCTTTGTATAAATCCAAAGAGAAATATTTTGGCAATCTGTAAGAATTGCCAAAATTTATTAAAATTAATGATAAATAGAAACATAAAACTGAAGGCTGAAATGTTCCTCAGTTGGTATTTTCCTAAAAGGCAAGGAAAATTTGCTTCTTTAATATCCAAGATACTTCCTTAGAGACTTGGATGAAAACTGAACCAAAAGCGGACTTTCAAATCTTTTGATAGCAATCCATCATTTAAAATCTTTCTCAGCCAGTAACTAGATTCTTAAAACAATCCTTTATTTACTTATTTATTAGGTTTCTGCCATAGGTTGCATGCACTCAACGAAGAGAGACAGTGAGAGAGAAAGTAGAGACCACCCCCCAGGGAGTAGCTAGGCTGCTATCCCTTTTCCTCCATTCTCCTCCTGGGATTTTGGGCATGCATGCACACGTGATGGGCCTGATTTTCAAGCCACCAGGTTCAGGCCTTGAACCATAGTTGGCACGTGGGAGTCCAGTGCCTTAACCACCATGCCACCTGCTAGCCCCCAACAATCCCATTTTTGAGATACCAATAAAGCATCTTGGAAAGCCAGGACAAACTAATAAGACAAGACTGGACAAGAATTAAAGGAAAACAGTAACTACAAAAGTGCTATATGATACAACAAATAAACATACCTCCGGGGCTGTGACCGGCATTCTTCCTCCCCACTGTCTGCCTCCTATATAAACAGAAAATAAACAGAAATAATTTAACATCTGAGGTCTCATATCATAATATCAACGATGCGATTTTACTAAGCTTTACATGTAGGAATATCTCATTCATGCTGTGCACTGAGCAGTCCAAAGACATAACCAAGACCGCATAAAAGTGACTTCAACCAATCTGAGATTTTTATCAATAGAAATTATTCCTGAAGGAAACTTCAACAGAAGTCTACAAATGGATTTCAAAAACAAAGTGCTACTCATTAGAAGAACTACCTCTGAAAACCAACTGAACATGTTATGTGACTGATGTGCTACTTCAACTGCAAAATGAGTAAGCATTCTACTGCCAACGAGTTTCAGCAAGATGACAGATGAATGTTTCTGATCCCCAAAGAGCATAAACAAGGACCACTACTTCAGAGTGCTTACGATCAAATCACCATGACTGTGACGCGCCTCCTGACTACAAATTGCCAGGTATCACGCTCAGCATTTTAAGTTTATTATTCTCCTTATTCCTACAAACTCAGAAGGCTGATGGTACCATATTTTTCACTGATCCTATTTCCAAAGAGTTATTTATTTAATTTTATTTATTTTCACTAGTTTTGAATTTGACCACAGAGAGAGAAGGAAAGTGAAAAAGCAAGACACCAGGTCGTGGATTCAAATCACGGCTGGTCATGTGGGAGTCCAGTGCCTTAACCACCATGCCACCTGCTGGCCCCTTCACTGATTCTAATATACATGCAACAGGATTAAAAAAGCACGGAATCATAGTTTAATTTCAATATGTATTTTTTCTTAGTGGAAGGTAAGATAATACAGAATCTTAGAACTCATTGTAACTTAGACTCAATGAATATTTTACAGGTGTGGAAACAAAAATTCACGAAACAGAAGTAAGTTGTCCAAAGAAACTGAAGTGGAGACGCTTTCAAATGCATTGAAAAAACATACTTAGTTCTTGTTGACCTAGGTTAGAAATTAGTATAAATTAGTATATATTACAGTACTATACAGAGCTTCACAGAGACAAGAATATTATTTTGTTAGAAGGCATGTGTGCTTGCCAGAGAGAGACAGAGAGAAAGAGGAAGAGAAGAGAGCACCTCCAACGGGGAATGGTCATGCTGTAACTGCTTCTTCTCCTTCTCTCTTCCCTTGAGAATGTGAGAAATCACCCCTCGGGGGATGGTCACACCACAATCCCTTCTCCTCCATTCTCCTCTCAAGATTTTGGGCATGTACACACAAGTGGCGTGCATGAGTTTTAAGCTGCTGGGTCTAGAACTCAAATCACAGTGGACTATGTGGGAGTCCAGAGATGTTACCGTTATGCCACCTGCAGGTCTCACGGATTCCCACCAAAATAAACAGATACTTTAATTCCATTTTCCATGAACTTTCTGAAGTTGCCTTGTAGTGTGAGTTAGAGTTCATTTTTTTTTTCTATATGGATATCAGCTTTTCTTCTTTTTTCTTTTTTTTTTTTTTAATATTTTACTTAGCTTTATGTATTTGTTTATTTATTTTTAATTTTACCAGAGAAGGAGGGGGGGGAGGGAGGGAGGGAGGGAAGGAGGGAAGGAGGAAGGAAGGGAGGAAAGAAGGAAGGAAAGAAGGGAGGGAGCGAGGGAGGGAGGAAGGAAGGAAGAGGAAGGAAGGAAGAAAGGGAAAGGAAAGGAAGGGTTCTTGAGGATGACAACAAACATAGAGAGAGAGGGAGAGAGAGAAAGCAAACTGCCAGGTCCAGGACTCAAACGGCAGTTGGCCATGTGGGAGTCCAGTGCCTTTAACCACCGCTCCACCTGTTGGTTACTGGACATCAGTTTTCAAAACGACATTTGTTAAAAAGACTTTCTTTTCCCCTTTGGCTTATTTGAATCATTCTTCTTAAAAAAAAAAAAAAATCAAGTGAGGGTCTAATTTGATGAGCTCTATTCTGTTCCAAGGATCTATTTGTCCTTATGCCAGTACCTTACCACCCTGATTAGTGTTAGTTGACGGCAAGTTTTAAAAGAAATATAAGTCCTCTAATTTAATTTTTCTTTTTCAAGATTTTTTTTTTTATCTCTAGCAAGTCTTTTCTAAAAGTTTCTTTCTTTCATGAGAGTGAGAACAAGAGAAAGGCAAGAACCCTCAACGAGGTGTCCTACTGTGACTGCCCCCAGCGTTCCCAGGCAGCCAGGATCATGGGCATACATATCTGGTCTGTACAGCCTGACCGAGGAACCAAACTCGCAACCCCTCCTATGGATCCAGTATTGATTAAGCAGCAAGGCATCGCTGTGTTATCAAGCCAATGCTCTAGTTACAGTGTTCTGTCTTCAAGTATACTTTCTGTGGTATTAGCACAGCCACTCCAGACTGTTCACTGCTTTATATATGTGTCTATTTTTCTTTAATTGCCAAAGTGCGTGTATACTCACCAGAGAGAGACGGGGGTGGGGCAGCGTGTGGGAACCCCTCCCAGTGGGGCATGTTAATGTCACAATCCCTTCCTCCCCATTTCTCAAGCTCGTCAGGACTGGGATATACACACGTGCAAGCACGGTGTTCTTCTCGAAGCTGCTGGGGCAGAATCTGAACTGTAGTTGGCAATGCGGGATCTGGTATTAACCATGCAGCTATAAGGTTTGCCCCAAGATATACGTGTGTGTGTGCGTGTGTGTGTACGCGCACGCGTGTGTGTATGTAAGTACATAGTAGGTTGTTGGAAAAGTCATGAGCATTTTTGTTTTTTTTCTATGCAAAAAAGTGTCATCCAAGCTGCAATGCCTTCTCCTCCATCGTCCTCTGGGGATTTTGGGTATACATGCACATACATGGTGTGAGTTTTAAGCCACTCGGTCCAGGACTCGAACCATGGCTGACTACGTGGGAGTCCAGTGATGTAACCATTATGTCATCTGCTAGTCCCCATCCTTGCCTTTTAATTGTAATGCTTACATTTAACGTAGTTACTGATATAGTTGAGTTTGGTCTACCATGCTACCATTTAATTTCTGTTTATCCTCTATATTTTTATTCCTGTTATTTTTTCTCTGCCTTCTTTTGTATTATTTATTTATTTTTTAGTATTTTGTTTCCTTATTGATTTTACTACTTTGTATTAATTTTTAAAAATTTCTTTTACATTTCTTCCATAGAGAGCAAAAGAGAGACAGAAAAACAGACACCCCTAATAGGGTCCTTATGCCACAATCCAATGCCAGTGTCAGTCAGGGATGAGACTGAAAGATAAGTACTCCTGTGCGCAAGGAGGTGCCGGGATATGAACCCAGGACCTTTCCATGCAGGACAGGTTGTATTACTACTGGCCACCACCCAGTCCTTTACATTATTTTTTATTTTCTTGCTTAAAAAAGAAATTACATATGCCTATATACTTAAACAATGTATCACTTGGTTTTAAGTGTTTTGAGGCTTTTACAATTGTATCATACTGTGTGTATTCCCAGTAGCTATTTTTTTCTTTCATTTTTTTTTGAGAAGTTTTTGCTATAGGGCACGTGTGCTCGCCAGACAGAGAGAGACAGAGAGACAGAAAGCGAGAAATCACCCCCCAGAGGGGATGGCCACGCCACAATCCCTTCTCTTCCGTTCTCCTCTCGGGATCTTGGGCACGCACACACACGCCTGGCGTGAGTTTTAAGCCACCGGGTCCGGGACACGAACCGCGGCCGACTACATGGGAGTCCAGTGACATAGCCATTATGCTAACTGCTGGTCCCTGTTTTTTTCTTTTAAGAGAGATTTTTGTTATGGGACACATGCACTCGCTGGAAAGACAGAGAAAGAGAGACAGAAAGTGAGAAATCACTCCCGGGGGGATAGCCATGCCACAATCCCTTCTCCTCTCAGGATTTTGGGAACACATGCCCATACGCTCAGCGTGAGTTTCAAGCAGCCAGGTCTTGGACTTGAACCATAGTCAACTACATTGAGAGTCCAGCGATGTAACCATTATGCCATCTACTAGTCTCCCCAGTAGCTTTTTTTTTTTTTTAATTTGTTTTATTTAACTTTATTTACTTTATTTTAATTTGACCAGAGAGGAACAGTGTGTGAGAGAGAAAGAGAGAGGGAAAGTGAGAAAGCAAGCCATCAGGTCAGGGACTTGAACCACAATCAACCATGTGGGAGTACAACACCCTTAACCACCATGCTACCTGCTGGTCCCCCCAGTAGCTTTTTAAAAACTAAATATGCTAACAAGGTCCATTCACTTATTATACAAAACCATAGTTAACTCAATTTTACTGAGGCAAAAGATTCCATTACGTGAATATATCAAAGTTTATTCATTCTCCTTAGATAGGCTGGACTGTTTCAAATATTTGATAACACAATGTGGTTATCAACATTCCTATACAAATATTTTGGCATACATGCAGAAGAGTGTCAACAGGATATATAGTGATGAGTAAAAACTGCAGGGTCACCGGGTAAATAAGACTTCACTTTACAAGATAGTGCTAAATTCTTTTCCAAAGTGGTTGTGATGATTTATACTCCCACCAGGAAGGAGTGAGAGTTTTAGTTTATCTAATTCCTAGCCAACACTTAGAATCATCAGATGTCTTCGATTTTTGCCAGTCTAGTATTGTATCTCATGGTCTTCATTGGCTTTGCCTTGAGATGATCTAATGAGGTAGGCTGAGCATCCTTCACATTTCTTTTTAAATTTTTAAAGTGAATCGTATTTATTATTATTATTTTCAGGTTGCATTAAGGCACATGCACTCACTAGAGAGAGAGGAAAAAAAAAAGAGAGAGGGAGAGGAAAAGTGAGAAAGCAAGCTGCCAGGTCTGGGGCTCAAACCGCCGTCGACCATTTAGGAGTCCATTGCCTTAATCACCATGCCACCAGCTGGCCCTGTCACATGTTTAAGGACTATTACTAGTTTCATAGCCTTCCCTTCATTCCTAAAATTCACACAAAAAGGGGGGCAATTTGCAATATTTTCAGCACTTTTAAAAAAATAATTAGTTTTGTGTATTC